TCTCATCTTGCAGCATGACATCCTATGCACAGCCTGCATCTGGCCCTTGCCGCTGGCCCCCACAGCTGCATTATAGATGCATGTTGTCTTCAGAGTCTACAGCCCAGGAGATAGGGTGTGCCTTGGCATGTAGACCACAGAGGCAACTGCCTGCCGGTCGGTTGTCTGGAGTGTGAGTCTGTGTGTGGCAGGGGAATGAACACTGAATGGGAGTCAGTTGGCTGAATCCTGTACTCAGCAGGTCACAGCCAGTTCCTTGGACATTAGTTTCTTTACTTAGGCGACCCCCATTCCCTCACCAGTTACCGTCAGTTTGAGCACAGTCTGTAAGCTGAATAACCCTGGCTGCCACTAGCCCCCTCCTTGTGCAGGATCTCATCCCTCTGTGGCTTCTCTGGGTGTTTCTAGAAGGTAACCAGTGGCTCCCCAGGGCAGACAACCATCTGGTTAACTGTCTAGTTGCAGCCCACTGGGCTCCACGGCCTGCTCACCTGGTCACAAGGCACCCCTCCCTCACAGCCAAGAGTTCCAGGGGACCCAACTGCTACAGGTTCTATTGCACAACCAGGCATCTCTTCTTGCCTCTGTCACTCCCTGTCACGGGGTCTGCTGTCCTCCCATCTAATGGATGTTTGGGTGTATCGTTCTTCTCCACTCACAGCTCAATTGTTCAGACTCACATGAGGGGACAGGAGTAGAGAAAGGGGGGTTAGATTAGGAGACACAGAGAGAGAGAGAGAACATACAGGAGTTTTCCTTCTTCCTCTGAATAGGGAGACTTCATCACCAAGACCACTGCTCATGCTCAAATTCTCCTGGGAAAATCACAACCAACAACAACAATAATGAGCATCCAACACAAACACGGTGCTGTGTGCCATACACTATTCTAAGTACTCACAGCCTTGGCTGGCTTAGAACTCAGAGATCCACCTGCCTCTGCCTGTGCTAGGATTAAAGGTGTGTGCCACCATTCCAGGCCTGTCCTCTTAAAAAAAATAATAATAACTCATTGTTGCTGTTATTTTCTCTTGTCCCGCCAGGTCCTGCCACCCTTCTCTGCCCCAAATAAGCACACAAAGATTTATATTTGTTGGCTGATGGCTAGGGCTTCTTATTAGCTAGCTCTATCTTTTTTTTTTTAAAGATTTTATTTATTATGTATACAACATTCTGCTTCCATGTATATCTGCACATCAGAAGAGGGCACCAGATCTCATAACAGATGGTTGTGAGCCACCATGTAGTTGCTGGGAATTGAACTCAGGACCTCTGGAAGAGCAGCCAGTGCTCTTAACCTCTGAGCCATCTCTCCAGCCCCCTAGCTAGCTCTATCTTAATTATTAACCCATTTCTATAAATCTGTATGTTTCCACGTGGTTTTGGCTTACTGGAGAATGCCCGGACCTGTATCTCCTTTGGTGGCTACATCTCGTCTATCTCACGGCCTCTCTCCGCCTACCTTTCACAGAATTCTCCTCATCCTCATCCTTCTTATCTTCCTGACTCATTGGCCAGACAGTGTTTTATTCATCAACCAATAAGAGGAACTTATATACAGAAGGACATCCCCCATCAACTCATAAAGTCCCACTTGTGCTGCTCACATTCTCCTGGGTGTGGGGCCATACTGGAGACTTGTGGACCTACCAGGGGCCACACCCTTCAATAAGACTGACTCTCCAACCCCCCCAGAAGTCATCATCTGTCCACAGCTCCTCCATGGGGGTGGGACTGTGTCCTAGTTTGCATTTCTAATGCTGTGATAAAACTGACCAAAACAACTTGGGGAGGAAAGGGTTTATTTCAGTTTATAGGTTACAATCCATCATTGTGGGAAGCCAAGGATGTAACTTGAGCAAGAACCTGGGGGGAGGAACTGAAGTGGAGACCATGGAGGAATGATGTTACTGACTTGTTCCCCATGGCTGGCTCAGCCTGCTTTCTTTTACTGCCCAGGACCAGCTGCCCACAGTGGACTGGGCCCTCCCACATCAACCATTAACTTTTAAAAAAAAAAAAAAGCCCCACAGGGTTGCCTATAGGCCATTTTATGGCAGCACTTTCTTGACTCCCCTCTTCCCAGGGCTCTAGTTTGTGTCAAGTTGAACCCTTTCTGCTTCCAAGCTAAAATGCTGAATGGCTTGCTCTTGTGCAGGTCATGTGCAGGAAACCACAGCTGCTGTGAGAACACTGGTTCTGCCATGTCCAGAAGACAGTTTTGCCCCCACCCTCCCTGACCCTGGGCTTTTGCACCCTTCCCACTGCTGGTGTGATTCGTATATAAGCATCCGGGTTGAAAACACTTAGGAGAAACAGATGCTGAGGCTTCCTGACACACTGGGGCTGTGTACTGCCAAAAGCTCCTGTCTGTGTGTGGGGGACTCTAAAAGGCCCTCCTAGTACCCCAAGGTCCAGAGTTCTCTGTTCCATAGGAAAGGCCTCTCTGAAGTCCCCTGTGTCTGGAGTCAGAAGGATGCCTAGGGCCTGCTTCCCACTGGCTTAGAGTTTTATTTGACTGTTTCCTAGACAGCCTGATTATGTTTGGCCCAGGCAAAGAATTGCGCATATAATTTAATGCTGATAACTAAGGCCACCTAGCAATTTGGTTGCCATAGGAGATGCATACGGACACTCTAACTTGATAACCCAGCATGTACTGCCCACAGCGTTCTATTTTGTATTCATAATGAAGCATAACAGGTCAAGAAAAGAACTAAAGCAGCATCCCAGAGCGAGGGAACATGGAGACAGTTTATGCGGTCACTGCTCAGTCACTAGCAGGAAAAGAACAGGGACCCCTTGGGATAGACGGAAGAAACGCGCCAGATCCCAGGATAGTAAGTGTTGGCTGAGCAAAGGTGATATTTACATAAACTGTTTCTTGGATGTAGACAGTGGCAAACACCTTCCGGACATCCAGTATCCAAGTCCAGAGCCAAGACCAGAGGCTGTTGACACTGTGGCTGGACAAGGACAGCCGGCGCACTTTCAGGGATGTGGTCAGGTGAGTGGGCCTTTCTACCCCTAGGATTCCAGTTCCCACAGGAAAAATCTAAACTCCTGTTCTCCGTCTTTGGCCAGATCTGTAGCCAGACAGGTTTTAGATCACTGCCCCATGACTTAAGGCTAGTGCTAAATGTTCCCAAGATTCCTAGGGACACACAGCCTGCAAGGCCTCCTGTTCTAGCCCCTCTGTTGGCACTGACCCTTCATCAAAGGATCCTCTTTTGGGGCACCTGTACCCCCATTTTGTGGCTTTTGCCTGTCTTCCCCAGGGACGTAGACACAAAGACACAGTGAGCCAGATCCAAGCATCTCCCCCACTATCAGAAAACACTGGTGTACGATGATCTTCTTTTCTGATTTGTCCTATCTTCTTTGTGATTCCTCCTCTGTACCCTAAAACAATTGGTCTGCCTTTTAAATGTACTGGACAAATCTGTTCCCTGAGGTTAGTCCTCTAAGTTGGTCTCTTCCCCACTGCAGATTTGAGGCTAGCCCCTGCCCAGAGCCATGTTCACGGGCCCAGAAATCCAAGATGTCGGGGCTCAATTCACACCGGCAGGAGGCAGAAAAGAATAAGGCTAAGCTCAGTCCCCTTCTGATGCCCATCAACACATTCTCTGGCATCGTCCAGTGAGCCTGCCAGGACAGTAGAAGATCTGGATCCAAGCACAGCAGACCCAAGAAGAAGGAAACACTACCTACCCACCCACAGCACTCACACTGACAGCCCCACTGGGCAGCTCTGCTTGGACCAAGAGCCAGAGACTGCCTGGGAGATGAGAGAGCCTAAATCGTGATGAAGAAGGGAGCATGTGGTGAAAAAGGACCCATTCCAAGGCTGATGGATTTCTGGATAAGGCTGGGATCTAATGAACACATGTACACACAACCCAGCTTCTTCCAGAAACTTCATTCTTGTGTTGATGTTCATCTCTCAGTTCTCAAGCTGTCTTCATCACCAATTCAAGCTCCCTAGGGAGTCCTGAAAATGTGTGCCAAAGGGCTGCAATTATAACTGGGTGGTTCAGCGGTAGAGCACTTGCCTAGTGTATGAGAGGCATTAGATTTGACTTCAGCACTATAAAAAGGGGATTGGAGCTGAGGGGTACCATTTTTGTACAGAGTGATGTGGCTGAGGAAGAAACAGGAAGTAAGTAAGGGACATTGTACCTGCTTTCTGCTGAGTGTACCATCCTTTTCAGCTCTCAGACCATGGTTCACCGGGGCCGAGGTGGGTCTGTCTCAGCAGAGAAGAGAATGTTAGTATCAATAAAAGCACACTAAAGTGTGTGTGTGTGTGTGTGTGTGTGTGTATGTCTGTGTGTGTGCATGTGCTTGTGTGCTTGTGTGTGTGTGTATGTGTACGTGTGTGTGTGTGTGTGTGTGTGTGTGTTCTTACCACAATATATGTATGTAGGTCAAAGGACAATTTGTAGAAATTTGTTCTTTCCTTCCATGGTGTGGGTCCTGGAACAGAACTCAGGTCATCAGGTTTGGCAGCAAGCACCTTTGCCATCCCCATGGCCCTAATTATACTGCAAAAGAAATCAGAAGACACAACTTAATCTAGCCAAGCGAATTCGCTTAGGCCAGGCAACAGCTTTGTGTTATATTCACTGCTGTGGTCTGTTCCCCTACTCTTTCCTCACCTCATTTTTTTTTTAACTTCAGGACTCCCCCAAGCAGGGGCAGGAATGCAGGGTAGCTTCAGAGGAACCAGAGATTGAAGAATGAAAAAACTGATGTTTCAAGTGAAAAAAAATTGCACATTAAAGCTGCAGTACCCTTGGCCCCATGACCAGTTGCAGGGTAGGAGAGAAGCAGAACAAGTCCAAAGGTGTTAGACTTAGGCCCCTCTCTCCCTCAGAGTATGGTGAGAGTGAAGGTGGTAGGATCCCTTTGAAAGCGGGAATCTATATTAGTTACTCTTCTGATGCTATGATAGAAACAGTTTGTTTTGGCTTGTGGTTCCAGAGGAATATGAGTCCATCATGGCGAGAAGAAATGGAAACAAGCAGCTGGCCATGGTAGTAGGAAAGCAGAGAGCTCATACCTTCAAACACAATTGTGAAGCACAGAGAGAAAACAGGGAAATAGCTTTAAATTCTCAAAGCCCTTGTCAGATGTGGTGGTGCATGCTTTTAATACCAGCACTCAGGAGGCAGAGGCAGGGGGATCTCTGTGAGTTTGAGGCCAGCCAGGTCTACATAGAAAGTTTGAGGACTGCCAGGGCTATGCAATGAGATCCTGTCTTGGTTGTTTGTTTTGGTTTTTCTGCCTCTGCCTCTCTGCCTCTCTCTCTGCCTCTCTCTCTGCCTCTCTCTCTGCCTCTCTCTCTGCCTCTCTCTCTGCCTCTCTCTCTGCCTCTCTCTCTGCCTCTCTCTCTGCCTCTCTCTCTGCCTCTCTCTCTGCCTCTCTCTGCCCCTCTCTGCCCCTCTCTGCCCCTCTCTGCCCCTCTGCCCCTCTGCCTCTGCCTCCTAAGCACTGGCATTAAAGGCATGCACTGCCACTGCCTGCCCACAAAAACAGGTCTTCAAGCAAGCAAGCAAGCAAACAAACAAACAAACAAAAAATAAACTCTCAAAGCTTGACCCCAGTGGCATACTCCCTCCAGCAAACCTGCTAAACCTCCCCAAACAGTGCCACCAACCGAGGACCAAGTGTTCAAATATCTAAGTGTACAGGGAACAGTCTCATTCAAATCAATACAGGGTCGGGGCCAGGGCTGGCACTGGCATTTTACCTCTGAACTCATTATCCCAGGAATAGAGCAAAGTCCTATGACCCATTCACAAACCAAGAATGATGTAGATAGGAATCTAGGGTTAACTTAATATACAGGCCCAAAGGCAGTCCAGGCTTACAGGAAGGAAAAGCCCGAAGCAGGGAACGTTTTCTCAAGTAGGCAGAGTCAGACAAGCCCAAGTGGGTCTCATATAAAAGAATGCCACTATGGGAAAAGAGTGTGGAGTCTGGCAAGTGAGGGTAATGCCTGATTGCTGAAGGAGGCAGTGGGGTGGGGAGCAGTCTCAGTGTTTTGAAACTGGTAGTAATTACAAATCTCACTGAGTTTGAGTTTGAGCTGGGAATTTTGTCTTTTCTGCACTGAGGTGATATGAACTGCTTCATACCAGTTTGAG